AAGGAAATGGAGGAGATTTTAGCAATTTAAGATTAGTGTCGGAACTTGTGCGTTACTGGATGCATGCTATGGTGTATGATTGAAGCGAGAATCAATTTTCGTACAGTTTTTCGAATGAGCTTGTATGAACGTGTGGTTTGTTGTGGTAAGATCTTATTTGAACGCACAAGAAGCGTTAATAGATCTTATTTTCTGATTTTTTTTACGGAAGTTTTTTATTGATTTGTTAATGAACGACTAAGTAAAATTTATTAAAAATGGATTGATGAGTCGTTTAAAATGTAGTTTATGATGTCACGAAAAGTTTTTGATTTTTCTTTATCAAGGGGAGACCTGCTGAATCCATTGCATTCCTTGAATTCCTTGAATTCCTTGAATTCCAGCATAGTTTGGATTTGTAACTAGACTTGTTATGTACCTTTTTTCAATTTCTTGAATTTCCTTCAATTTCATTGAATTCCTTGAATGTCTTGAATTCCTAGAACTCCTTGGATTCCAGCATACTTTGGACTAATACCTCCCCTTGTTGTCTACCTTTGTTCAATTCCTTGAATTTCTCTCAGTTTCCTTCAATTTCTAGAATTTCTAGATTTCCTTGAGTTCCAGCATAGTTTGGACTTATGACTTCACTTGTTATGTATGTTGGTTGAATTCGTTCAATTTTGCTCAATTTTCTTCAATTGCTCGATTTGCTTCATTTCCTTGAATTTCTTGAATTGCTTGAGTTGCTTGAATTTCTGGAATTCCTTGAATTTCCTTGAACAGTGAATTTCTGGATCTGGGTTATATCTGATGTGGGTGTGGGTGTGTTGTGAAGATAGTATCATTTATTCAGGAATGTGGTTGTGGATGTGGGTGGGTGTGGGGTGTGGGTGGATGTGGCCGTAGGTGCGGGTGTGAGTGGGTGTGTCTATTTACTTAATAATCACACCCCACACCCCACACCCCACACCCCACACCCACACCCCACACCCACACCCTTCTTCAATCATAGCCACACCTTATATCCATCACCCGGTACGGTGGAAGTCCTAAACTGAAGCATATATTGTAGAATCTTTTGGTTTAACATATACGCAGATCAATCGTATAGATTATGTCAACAAGTTTTTCTTTTTCTTTATTTCTATCAAGCATCAATTGAAATATAAAGCAAAGATTATTCGTTGTCTTTTAAAATTTATAATAACCTATCGAAGATCATAATCAATTATATATTAGATGAAATTATCTTTTCCATGATATAAATTGTTTCATATGAATGAAAGATTTTTTTAATATTATCTTTTAATTCATTATTGTATTGTAACATCTCAATATATAATATGATTGCTTCATTTGTTTGATCATATTTTTCATTAATAACATGAAAATTTAATTTTTTTTGTTCATAATCATTTGGTAATTGATTATATTTAATTCGAATAAGAAATTGTTTTGGTTTATAATTATTTTTAAGATAAAATTTTTCTACAGCATCATCAGATGCTACTCCTACTGTAATTTTTATTTTATTAACTTTTGTTTCAAAAAATTTTAATAATTTACTTCCAATTCCATGTCTCCAATATTTGTACAATACACAAATACCTTGCAATGTAATCGTTATTTCATCATAATCACATCCATATGCAATACCACACATAATATTATTAATAAAAGCAGCTATAAATAATGATGAATATTTATTAAATTCATTTTGTAAATAAGTAAATGTCCAATTATCCAAATATTCTTGTTGTATTTTCCAAAATTCTTCAAGTTCTTCATATTTGACATTTCTTATTTCAACATGATCAATAAAATCATTTATCATCGTCATCGATTGTTTCTTTCTTTTTATTCAACAATTCAAATTTAATATCTTCAAATAAGATATATAGTTTTTTAAGTATTCTTGACTTGCGAAGGAATTACTCTAACTGATTCTATCCTTTTTGAATTCTCATTTTGTCTAGAAATAAGACCCGGTGAGACTAAGAAAAACTCAAAACAATTATTGTAGACTTAGGACAGCTTCAGTTCATGATGATTTCAGATCGAATGAGTTGTTTTCACCAATCCATTTCTCGCGGTCTGAGCTGAATTATTCAAACACATCAGTTCAATTTTGATCTATCAGAGACATAGAAAAGTATGAACTAATTGACGTCTAAGTTTAGACACAACTCAACGCTATCTGTTAAAGTTAGTCAAGAGAAAGGATGGTATACTCCGAAGCTTATTGAATGATAAAATCAATGTGTAGAGGAGGCTAATATGGTTGGTAGGTGAACGAATGAAACAAACAATAAAATTATATTTGCCACTTCCTATGGTATCTGACAATACAAATAAGTTTTCTACAGTAAATGAATGTTAAATGAATCGAATACATTGGTAGAATAGAAATTCTAAATGCAAACATTTTCGCAATGCTAAAATTTCAAAACACATGTGTCCATTATAAAAAGTATTATTATTTTGATTTAGTCATTGATTTGAAATTTTTTTTAAATAAATTATTTTAACCCCATGTGACAATATACCATAAATTTATAACAATCAGAGATTGTGAGTTTCAAACTATAGCTCGTCTTGGAAGCGCAATGACAAATTTTTTTCTCTAATTTAAATAACAAAATCTTTACAGATGTTATTATTGGCCTAATGAAAAGTTTGCTGTCAAAGAGTCAATCGTAAGTTAAAAAAAATATTGTAAATATATATTTAAAAAGAGCACAGAATTCTCATTCTAGCTCATTATTTATCATTCTCTCCAATGACTTATCAATAGTTGAAAATTGAACCAACACAAAGACTTATACAACAGTTAATAAAATTATTATAAATCAAATAAATTCATGTCGTTTCTCGAAAATTTTCAATGTTCTTTTCCAAAAACTCGACAATATGATATAGTAAATTAATAATAGACGAGTTATGTTTGGACAGTCAAGAGAAATAACTGAATTTTGATTTTATTCCAAAGAGCAAATTGGATAGTGCAATGAAATATGCTTCTATCTAAGTTTTAGATTAGACAAAAATAAGTATGATTTTTGTAGTAAGTCAAATTTTTTAAAAAAACTAAAATAAAGTTGAGACTTCGACAAAACTGTGGATGACAATAAACTTTTGTTACTGTTATAATTTTATAGAAAATTTCATAATGCATCTTATGAAAAATATTATTTTACTCATTGGATAAAATTTTGTTGAAATAGAAACAAACTACTAAATGATTCATTTCTACTATTATAATTGTTACATTTTGGAAGTATCAAGTAATAATTTCACTTTTGAAATATCCTATTCTCTATTATGTAAACTACTAAAATGTGACTTACTCTTCACTACTCAAACACATAAGTTACCATATTTGTTTTTTCTTCATCATATGACAAATAAAATCTTATCTATTGCATATAATGAGTCATAAGATTGTCTCTTCTTTTATTATCTACATTTCTACCCACTTAATAAGTTGATTTAAAATTTTGTACATGAGATTTTTTTCACGTAGGAAAAATGATTCAAGTGTGTAACTATCTTTTCTAGTTATATTGAGTGTTGTTATTGTAAATTTATAGCTGATAAAAAAAATTCACTAAGAAAACCAAACAATTATCTGATAGCAAGCTGTCGAATTTTCCAATCATTTCTATAAAAATCGAAATAAGATGTTAACAGTTGACATAACTACAAATCTATCTTTCTTATAATGTTTTCTTATACATAAAAATCTTCAAGATTCAATCATACCGAGTCGAAGAATTAATAGTTTTTTTTTCACATTATTTTCATTTTCGATGACTATACAGTTATGATTGTAACGATGACTGGGTGAGATCCGGTCTACTATGCATTTTCTAGAATTACGGGTCTACATCTATGAAGCCGATAAATACGTATAGAATGTTGATAAGGTTTTTTTTTGTATGTTTTAAATAGCTTTAGATCTACAGAAACTAATTGTATCAAAAGATCAATTTTCACTGTACATGTTTTGCAAGCACTTACTGCCTTAGCTGTGAAACTTTGATGATCATCATAGGTTACAAGTCAAATTGTTTATATATCTAGAGACGATAGATTTCATTCGACAAAAAAAAAATTTTCTCATACTTTTCAAACCAATAAATTCTTTTTTTCATCGAAAAATATAGTTTTTGAATACAATCTTATTGAAGATCATGAGAGAATCTCACTAGTTACGAAAAAGTAATTTCGAAATTTGAAGTTTATTTATCAATTTTACTATTTATCTACTCGAGTATATCTAGATTGCTAGTACACCATTACCATTGTCTCACATATGAAGCATTAAAAACTATAGTTCTCTACATCAAAATCATTTTTTTATGAAGCTCAAATATAAATGTGTGAGATATTTTGTTTTTGTCTTGTCACTATTGATTGTTTCGTAAAGCTTGAAGGAATTGCAATTGAATGACGTTTCGGCAATATTTCATATAAGAAAAAACTTTATTTTTGTTTTTCCTTTAATATTTATGAATATATATTAGATAACAGAACGTTCTTTTGTTATAGACAACGCATCACAGTAAGCAGAAGAGATAATCATCAATGGCGCATATGGATAGGAAAATAATGAATTTTATTGAACACAACAATTAAAGCAAAAATTTCAACTCAAAAAAGAATAGATTTGATTAAAACGATTCATATTAAAGTCTTGTTGTCATTGGAGGAATAGCTAAAAAGAAAAACAGAATTTAAAATTATTATTATAACAAAATACAACAATAATAATATAAATAATATTATTTTCAAATGAATAAAATAAACAAAATTTCTTACTTTGTTTATTATTATTATCTTTTTGATCAGATAAAATATCTTCATCTTCACCAGCAAGTTGAACAAATATTTGTTCAAGTGTTGTTTGTGTTACTGAATATGATTCAATAATTTTTTGTTCTTTTTTTTTATTCAATATTTCAAATACATGTGCTAAATTATAAGGTAATTGAGTTGTATTTCTTCCATCTGTTGATGAATGTGAAAATGGTACATTACAAAATAATACTTCATTATGTTGATCTAGTTAAATAAATTTAATTTCATTAAGATTAAAAAAAAAATCATCGGTTTTCAAAATATTATTCATTCTACCTTGTATTTCAATTCCGGGTATATCTGTCATTAATTGAGCTTTAATATTATCTAAATTATCACCGACTACTTTTACTTTGATAGCATAACCATTACCAAAACGATTTCTTAAATGTTGTAAATTTCCAAGGCACATAAATTGACCCATTTTCATAATACCAATTTCTAAACAAAAAGAACCAGCTGTTAGAACAATTCTAAGTCTCGCTCAGAAAACAAAAAATTATTAGTTCTGGTTTCACATCTACGAGGGAAGATCTCCAACTAATCCACGCCATTTTCAATGATATTTTGTCCATGAGTCTTCCTTCGAAGGTTATGACCATTTTACTGATTTTTTTCATCTAGTACAAGGTATATAGGGAAAAATTGAACAATGAAATTTCAATCTGAAATTTTGCTCTTATGTAGTTCTTGTGATCATTATAATACTCAAAAAGTTTTAGTGGAAAAAAATGTTTCCTTTTGAAGATGTTGATTCTTAAAAACGTGTCTCATAATCTACAAAGATCTGAGAGATTGATGTTTTTTAAAATTGAATATCTCCAAAAGGAAACATTTTTTTCTACTGAAACTTTTTGAGTGTTATAATGATCACAAGAACTACATATGAGCAAAATTTTAGATTGAAATTCCATTGTTCAATTTTTCCCTATATACCTTGTACTAGATAAAAAAAATCAGTAAAATGGTCATAACCTTCGAAGGAAGATTCATGAACACAAACCCTCTTAGGATTTTTCTTAGAATACTGTTTCCCGACATACAGACAAAATATCATTGAAAACAGTGCAGATCAGTTGCAGACTTTCCGTCGTTAGTAATACATGTGCCTAGCGAAAAATGCAATATCATTTTCTAGCAGTATCAATCAGTTCCAATGAAAAAGTATTTGTTCTAGTCCCAGTCTCAGGGCCGTTTTGCTTATATCTAACTATAACGAGTCATTATTGAAATACGGTCTTTGATCGTGTATCAACAATGTCTGCTGGAAACAAATGAATAAAAAACAACGAGCTTCGAATTTTCGACAACTTACTAGTACATAGAGCTTCACATTCTTCCATACTAAAAATATTCAAAAAGAAAGCAAACTACATATATTAAAATCAATGAATTATTTTACCTATGACTTGTCATAATAATTGTTAAACCAACATCACGAGCAGCTCGTATTACTTTCCATAATTTTCGTTTAGCAGCTGCATCCAAACCCTTAAACAATACTGTAGAATTAATATATTTTTCTCTTATTAAATAAATTTATACTGTTGTTGGTTCATCCAAGAATACTAATGCTGGATTAGCCATGAATGCTAAAGCTGCACTAACTTTTCGTTTATTACCACCACTAAATAGATATCTTATATAATCAGAAAATTTTTTAGTATCAAAAATTTACCTTAATTTTTGTACTCGACGATTTTCATATGTTTCAAGACCAAAGATATTCACTATATTATTACACATTTCTGATATTTCTGATGCTTCTACACCTTTTAATCTAAATCAAAATAAAGAATTTGAACATATTATTAATTGAATAAATTTTAAAAAATCAATAAAACTATTTTGATAATAATATGCTTAAATTATTTTAATTGTTTACTTTGCAAATAAAGTCAATGTTTCTAAAACAGTAAGATCGTGTAGGAGCCAATCAAATTGTGGACAGAAACCAATTTCTAAATCACGTTTCTACAATAAAGAAGAAAACAAAAATACAAAAACATTTTAATTTTTGAAGAAAACATAGCTATGTATTTACCGTTTGATTGATATTTCTTCCATTGATAATTATTTTGCCTGATGTTGACTTAATATCATTTACCAACATACGAAATGTTGTAGTTTTTCCTGCTCCATTTGCTCCTGAAGAAATAAAAAAAAAACATATATATATTTTTGATATCGAATTTCAATAAATCATTCTATACCCAATAGACCGAAACATGCTCGCTTTTGTACATGAAAATTTAAATGGTTAACTGCCAGATAAGTGCTTTTATCATTAGATTTTGATTTTCCTTCTTTAAATTCTTTGACGAGATCTCCAACAACAATCACAGATGATTTCGTTGTTTCATTGTCGTGTAAAATTAATTGACGTTCTCGTCGCACATCTTCATCAAATTGCTAAAACAAACATATTTTCAAATCACCCTAGTGAATATATTGATCTCAGCATATCCTACTACCAATATATTATAGGAACCTTTAGATTCTTCAGTGCCTTGGGGTACTTTATAAGTTTTTAGCACTTAAGTCCAAAATGCTTCTAAATATTCAATCCACTAATTTGTTGAAAAATTTTTCATAGAATGCTATACAATCGTAGGTGCCCATAAACTGCGACGTCTCTTAGTAGGACGCACCAGGGTGCCCTGCTGACAATCAACCCAGTACACAGGTACCTTGAACTCAGTATATTCACTAGGACGTGCCTTGTCTTTAACATATCTCGAGATATATATAAAGATTAATGCGGATAAACGGATTTTACGTGTGGCAAGTACTACTAAAATGTTTAATTAGCTTCAATTCAAATCTAACGAGGGAACCTCACCAACTGATTAAAAGCTTTAAGGCTCATATTTATGTCAAAAGTAGTGCT